TTTATCTTTCCAGCCATTCCAATTCTCCAGGATGAGTGTTATCGATTTATTCATCCTTGACCTGACAGTATTCCAAGGTGAAGATTGACGTTTGCATCTGACAACCCTGCAAATGGAAATAAACGATGAAAGGCGTGACCAAGGACCCCGAAACCCATGACATGCATGTTCTTAAAAATCCTCAGCGATAGAAATTGAATTCACGTGGAGGCCTTGTGATGAGGATGTTCGAAACCCAGATGTAAGGCATGACAATGTTACCAAGGTTTTTTTTTAAATTTAAATAACAGTTATTAACGTAACTTTTGATGGGAGAAATGACGTACCTCTTCTGCTAAAAAAAAAATGTAGTAAATACCATAGGCTAAAAGATAGCATAACTACAACTTAGCGTTCTCACGTTTGGTTACACGGTCTTGCAAAGAGGCCTAACTTGTTCGCTGAGTCCCGGTCGTTTTTCCCTCTCGATGAAAAGAATCCCCTTCTTTTCCGAATGATACAATGTAAAAACGTTGCAACGTCCCCTCCCGAGAAGTGAAGAGCCATGTAAATATTTGTCGGATCGTGTTCCGCGTAAACAGGCCGATTCAATGAAGCAGGTTCCTCCTCTCTCGCCCTATAGAAAATCAGCCTGATATTGATGACTTCCGATCGGATTATTCCGAAGCCCACCCACAACCCCGGATTCAATGCCGAATCCCATCCGCATGATCCGTCTCTCCCTCCGGATCCATTAATTTCCATTCACCTGACAGTCCCGGAGGCGAAAAAAATGATCGGGGGAACGAACCGAAGGGAAGAAGGGAAGAGAAGGCGAGCGGGCGAGCCTGGACCTCGAAAGGGATGATGGGAGGTCGGAAGACGGAAGTGCATCTTCGATTCCAGTCGGGTAAGATGAGGAGGGCGGAGGAGAAAAGAAAAAGAGCAACCCAAAACCTGGATAAAAAGGAAAAGGAAGAGGAAAAGAAAGGAGCCGATACGATCCGTGCAACACCGATCTTTTTCTCTCTTCCGGGCTTTAGGATGGAACACGGAAAGGGAAAGCCTTCTGCTGCTCCTTTTTTTGTCGAATAATTCTCCCGTTTCTGCACGCCCGGCTGGGAAAGAGATAATGACGGGTGGAAAGAATAGTCTTCTCTTCTCTCTTTCCCCCGGCGAAAGGCGGCGAATAGAGTTCAAAGCCGATCCAATTTCCGGTCCCGAGCGAGTGACGTCAGAGGAGGGAAAAATTTTCTCGGTAGGTGGTCGGTTAGGTGGTCAGAGACCCGAGTGACCATCCGACGAGATGGCTCTCTTCGGACAGACTTATAGGCCGATGTCTAATAAATCGCGGCTCGATGCATTCTAAGGGCTTCTGGAACGGAGGCCCGAGAATAAATGGCTTCGTTTCTCATTATCCGGAGGGCCGGAGCCGAGGGAAAATGCCTGGGAATGCACGGCGATTACACGGCCCACGTGGCCTCAATCTCAACGCATCGCTGCTTCCCGGGTTCTCGGAGGGTTCTTTGCGGGCTCTTTTCAGGTTCTTCTCTGGTTTCTCGCAGATCCTTTTCAGATCCTTCTCGGATTATTCTCAGGCTCTTTGCAGGGTTTTCTCAGGTTCGTTAATTCTTCGCAGGCTCTTCGCAGGCTCTTCGCGGGTTCTTCGCAGGCTCTTCGCAGGCTCTTCGCAGGTTCTTCGCAGGCTCTTCGCAGGTTTGTTTCCGGGTGGTGGACCGAAATAGGTGACAGGTGGGGGAGTCGACGGTCGACACGTGGGTCGACATCGGGGTGGGGCGTAAATGTCGGCTGGATTTTACTTCTCGCTGAATTACGACCGATATAAACTCGGGGTTTTTCCAGCATTCTTGGCAAAAGGAGCTCAGAATCCTTTTTTTTTCGCTCGTATAAACCCTTAAGTTACGAGCGGTCGTAAAAGCGTTTTTACGGCGGGAGGGGGAAAAAAAAAGAAATATAAAATATAAAATAAATTTTCTATTTCCCCGATTTTTCTTCGCACCTGGTCATCGTAAAAAAAAAAATTATATTTCGGAGAAAAAATTCCGGGATTTTCCGACAAAGATGTTTTCGCCCTGCAATTACGTCTGAAAAGGAGGGATTAACCGGGAGGAGGAAAAAAAAAATTTGAAAGAAATCCTGGACATAATTGCTGTTTATTGCATTTCTCGCAAATCCCGTTTAACGCTCGGCGAATCTTCGGCGGATTTCACCGTGAATCCGTTCCCATGAATGGGATGGGAAAAACCTCCGGCGTAACCCCCGGTTACGGACCCGGTTACGGGCCCGGTTACGACACCGTGACCGGAATCGCGGAGTGTCGCGAATTTTTTTTTTTTTTTCGCAAATCGGCGATTTGCAAAATGCTCTTTTGTGACGGGATTTCCGCCGCGCTCCACTTGCCCCGAGAAAACAATCCTTTTGTCCTTTTTGTCCTTTTGTCCTTTAAAGCGCAAATCTTTACGGCTTCGGTGTTTTTTTTTACGCCCCGACAACAGGTGCAGGCGGATTTCTCCCAGGGTCATTGTTCTCGGAGGGAAAAAAAAACCGGCCGGGTTCGCGCCGGATCGGCGCTGCGGTAGGTCCACAAAATTCCACTAAAAGTTTTTCAATTATTTAAGTAAATAATACGATTTAATGCATCTAAATGAATACGAAAATAAAAAATTAAACTCTGATGTAATAAATTCGAGGGATTTATAGTAATAATAAAAATACAGGTTTAAAAAATGGAGGAGAATTATGTGCGCGTGGCTCGAAAAGAAGGCGGCTTTGAGACCTTCCGAAGGCGGCTTTCAAAAAAAACTTTTATGAGCCGTTCCCGGATGGATAAATGGGTTAAAGGGGTTTTCTTCTTCGTGGCCGGTGGATCGCGGCGCTGACCGCGTTATCTTACACCTGCGGGATGCCGAAAGGTGACAGATAGACCGGCCGGCTGTTATTAACCGCGCGGTTAACGGTTTCGCGCATCTTGCTGGCCGTCGCGCAGATGTCGGGGGAAGGGGGAGGAGGGGAGGGGGGGGGGGGAGGGGCGGGTTTTCCAGGGAGGTCCGGGGAGGACGGGGCCTGGAATCCGGTTAGCGGTGCAGGGATTCCAGGGATGAGGGGGGATGAAAAAAGTTCCCAGGCGCGGCCTTGGTTCGTAATTGACACCGAGTGTGTCATGCAAATGCCGTTAGGGGGGTGACGGGGGGATTCAAGCTGGGAATTCAAGGAGGGAATTCAAGGCGGGGGGAATTCAAGATGGTTCTCGTGACGCGTGGAAAATGACTTCTTTTTTTCGCATGCAAATGAGGTTCTCGGGTGTCACTCATGACTCGCCGTTTCCAATTTTCCCATGACTCTTCTCCTGTCATGATGATCTGGCCGGATGGCTGGATGGCCGGATGGCGGCTTGAAAGGGGTATCGCGGGGACATTCAGGCCATTCAAGAGGAAATTCCCGGGCGACGCTTCCCAGGCGGAGATGCCTGGAAACATGCTCCATCATTCTCGCAAATGGAGCTCTATTTTCCCCCGCTCGGAATTCCTGCCAAATGGACCGCCTTCTGGCACGTACGAACTGCAAGAACATAAATTTCCGCGGGAAACGCCGGACGCGAACGTCAGCCAGCACTTTCGCGTTTTTTTTTTTTTTACCGGTCGGAAAGGCGTGCTCGAACGAGGGGCACCCCCTGTCACGAATTGCCCACGAAGGCGGCGTCGAAGGCGGCATCGAAGGCGTCCGAAGGGCGGATTCGTAGAAGAGCCGGGAGTGCCAGCATGCACCCTATCGGGCAATAACTCCCACACCCAGACGAGGAACAAAAGGGGCCGATAACAGATCCTCATTATTCAAGACGGGTTCCTCGAAAACCCACGGGATCGCGACGGAAGAGATATCGCCTCGATCGAGGTACCGGCCCGACTGAGAAGGGCAACGGAGATAGCCGTCGCGCTGGCGTCCTTGCCGCATTCCCCCGTAGCGAGGAATCTCGTATCGAGTGGAGGATATTCGGATCACGTCGGGGGGGTTTTATGACGCATGTTAGCACACATGCATGCTCGAGACTCGGAGCTGGAGGGCATGGATCGCGGTTGGGGCGGAGCTTTCCCACGCTCCTGCTCGTGCTCGCGTCGGGCACGTGCACTCACTCCCGCACGCGCCTCGCCCTCATTGGCTCCCTGCCACCGTCACGGATGCCGGATTTGGGTTTCTCTCGCGGTGACCTCACTCCTGCCGACGGTCGCACTCCGCGCGTACCTGTGAGGTACGAGCCCACCGTACTTGATTTTTCCTATGCATGCATGTCAAGGTGATGGGAAAATGTGGGTCGAAATGCTGTGCGAAACCAGCAGGAAGCCTGGGTCACTTCCAAATAAGTCTTTCGTGATTCAGATGGATTAAAGCGGCTCAGGGTTGGATACGAAATGACGCTTGAATGGGGAGGCCTTCGTCTTGCTGTAGGCAGAAAATTGCACATCATCATCGCGGCAATTATCGTAAAGAAGCGAATTCGACGAATAGAGACCAAGTGATTCATCGGGACGCTTCTGTCATCGTTGTGCACGCGTCTCCCCACGTATATCGCCTCGGAATGAAAATTCGCTTGAGGGTCGCAGGCAGTCGCAGGTCTTGCGGGAGCTGCTGGAGCGATTTCTGCGATTCTACCGGAAATCGGACCATTTTTCAGGAAGGCGCATGCGAAGTCGATGGTGACACGCGATTCTGTCATTACGTGACTTTCGCGTCAAACGATAAGTCGGCCAAAATATATCCAGACACTCGAGTCGCCGTGTATCTTACTCAATCGCCATGGCGAAGAAAAATCGCTTCATTGTCATAGGATGTGACGTGATGTATCGGCGAGTACAGGTAAACAAGTACAAGGATGAGCCTGGCAGGGGACCCGACGAGATAACCCCGCACGTGGCGCCGAGATCCACGGCCGGGATCGAGCATCCCTGCCGGCCGAAGGGAGGGTGCCAAATTCGTGCACAGGGCGCAGTGGTTGCTCATTCCCCGAGTGGATCCCGAGGGTGGAGGGTTTCCGCGCCCAGCCCACGACTGAGACCGAGGTCGCGTCCTCGCTGAGTTTCGCCCCGTCATCATTCTATAGTTATCCCTAACCAGTGACTTGAGAACGTGTCGTGCATTCATGATGCCGGCCGAGAATGTCATCCGGAAGGTGGAGAATCGAAGGGTAAGTCCATCGACCGTCTCTGATCAATCCAGTACTTTTTTTTTCCCCCAATCCAAAGTTTTTTTTGCCTTTAATTAAAATGTCGCAAGTAGAGTGATGTGGGCGCTGTGCCATGATTGTCTCAGTTTGTATATGCGTACCCCCTAGCCCATATGTTCATAACATGTTGTGCATAAAAGGAAACCTCCCATTGACTTTATAGAGCAACAAGCCTTTGATGGAGAAACGAAGGCGGGCGAGGATAAACAATTGCCTGAACGAGCTGAAAGCCCTCATCCTGGACTCGATGAAGAAAGACGTGAGTTTCGCATCCTCTCCCTTCGTATATCGCAATGATGGGCCATTAACGGCGGCGTGCCTATGCGCGCGATCGCGAAGACAACGTCGGCTTTACCGAGCTTGTAAATCTCAGCGGAGTTAACGGTCGTCCCAGCCCATTCTTTTGTGCCAAGGACTTCTCGAGAGGGAAAAAAAAAAAGAACTGCCGCCGTTTTTTCCTCGTCTCGAGCCGTTGTAAAGACGCAACGGCTTTTTGCGCTATTGTTTCCCCGAGAAGGGATCCACGATGTTATCTCGTGAGAGAGTGCGCGTGCTCGAGTCGATTTATTTTTTTTTTTTCCTGGGGCGTACACGTGGCTGGAATCCGGTACTGGTTATGACCCGTTCCAAGCAGGGGGTGTGGCTCGGTTCCTTTTCTTTCTTTGAGGCTGATGGATCGCCACTGCAGTGCTAAATCCCGAGACGACGGAATGATGCATGAGGCTACTTTTTCATTCTTCTTCCAGCCTGCCAGGCATTCGAAACTGGAAAAGGCAGACATCCTGGAGCTGACAGTGAGACACGTGGCAGCCCTACAGCAGCAGCGGGCGTCGTTGGAGGACGGCTCGGCGCTGGCTGCCAAGTTCCGGGCGGGCTACGCCCAGTGCGTGGCGGAGGTGGAGAACTTCCTCGAACGCCTCGACGTCCATGCCGTGTCCCCGGGCGTGGAGCCCGACGTGAAGCACAAGGTGCTGAATCACCTCCGTCTCTGCCTGGCATCCGTCAACCAATGCCCGGACGATCCCCAGGCGCCTGCCGCCACTGTGTTAGTCCCCGCCCGCCTGCCTTCCGGAGAACTGGCCTTCGTCGTCCCCGCTGTGTACGGTCGCAACCACCACGACGGCGAGTTCCAAGAGGAAGAAGAGGAGATGCAGCACGCGCCGCTGAACCTGTCCAAAGTGCCCGGGGAGGAACCCTTGGCCCTCACCGTGCATCATCATCACGATGGGCGTCATCCGTCGTCTCGGAGCCCCAGCCCCGTCTCGTATCTCAGCAGCCCGACCAGTGAACGAACTACTTCCCCCGCCTCCGTTCATTCCGATTCCACTCACAATGGGCGCAGTTCCCCTTGGAGACCTTGGTGAATCCCAGACAAAGAGAGACCTCTATCTTCATGCTGTGATACCTTTTTAATTTTTCCCGAATGCGTATGCTCCGGCGGGCCTTTCGTTTCGTCGGTTTTTTTTTCCATCATTCTTCAATCGAATGATTATTTTTCGATTATTCACGCTCGTCACTCTGTTTTGTTCTTATTTCCTTGTACTTCCTTCTGTCTTTTCTTTTTTCGTTTCATTTCGACGCGCAAGGTCGAATGAGAAAATCCACGTCTTCCATGTGTAACATAGTGCCTTACAACCTAGAGGGTAGAGTTATGCTATCCCTTATTTTTTGGTGCTATTTTTGTTTTGTATCATGCTATTTTTTTTGTCCTCCCACCCGGCTGCAAGAAGTAATAAAAGGGAAAGAGACCATTTTGACTGCGAGTGTTTCCTTGTGTGCGAGAAAGTGGGAAAGGGATCATGGGGACGAGAATGTTTATTTGTTGACAGGGGAGAGGAAAGGCCCAAAAGCAAAGAGCCTTTCGAGATAAGGGTGACTTATGATGACAGAAACAGGAGCTCCGACAGGCCGAGGGCCCACACACCAACTCGGCATGGGATACGGGCGAAGGCGAAAAAAAAAAACATGCGAGAAGGAAAGGCAAGACCTGGACCGAAGGATCGGTTACTCCTGCCCCGCGCGGCGGTCATTAGC